ACAGCCATTTGCTTTTTCTGTTCCCCCCCCCCCCTAAAGGAAGAGGGGAAAACCCCCCGGGAGAAAAGTGAGCATCCTCAACGGTTCTCTCTGTGAAGTCTGACTCGAGCACCTTTATCACATCTGGTGGAGTGATTAACTCCTTGACTTGTGTTCGGCAAATGTATCGGACTTCACTTGTTAGATTAGTAGGTGACTTAAGATGAGGGGTCACCTGTCTCACAATAATGCTGTGGCTGCTTCCAATGGCATCGCCATAGTCGACACAGGGATTGACACAGCCGACTATACTCCAGCCAAGGTCTGTTCTTTGAGCAAATGGCTCATTGTCTTTACCTGATACAATTTCTCTTGGCAGCAAGGCTTGAGAACAATTGTAACCTATGAGCAGACCAATGTCACACTGGATTAAAGGTGCGATCTCTTCAGCAAGGTGCTCCAGGTGCGGCCATGCCCTTGCTGTCTTGGGTGTAGGAATATGACTTAGATTGGCAGGAATGAATTCTCTTGAATAGGTTACTGGGAGAACGATTTTCTTTGATGAATAAAAACCTCTGACCTGCAGCCCAGTAATCTTTTGACTTGGAATGACAGCTCTTTGGGATGACAATGTGGAGAGCTTTAAATGCACAGGCTCTTTTTGCGTGTCCAAAGTTTCTGCCTTCTCTTGCAAGATGAAGGTGGTGTCACTTTGGTTGTCCAGAAGTGCATATACGAGAACCTCAGTCTCTGGGTTACTTGTCGTGGACAGCCAGACTGGAATAACAGTGGATGTATAGGTGCTGTTCATGTCTTGCACCACTCTGTTAGATGTGGCTTCATACGACGTTTCATTGGTCTGTTTAGAATCTGTTCTTTCCTTCTCCCTTGAGTGTTTCCCACTCTCTTTACATTCATCAACCAGTTGTTCTTTCTTTCCGTTTTCCTTAGTACACGTTGGGTGTTTCCTTTTACATGTGTCACAGACACTTCTCTGTTCACAGTTCTTTGAATGGTGTCCTGTTTGCAAACATCCAAAGCACAATTTCTTCATTTGCACAAACTTGACTCGTTCGGCTATAGACTTGTTCCTGAACTTCCGGCATGTCTGAAGGCCATGGATAACTTTCCCCCAAAAAGCCCCCCCTTTAACATCTGGTCTTTCTTTTCAGATACATTCAAAAACCCTTTTACCCCCAGGGTCGGGTCTTTGGTGTCTTCATTTTTCCCCCCCCCCCACCTTCCAAAGCAAGGAGGGGGGTCGCTGGGTTACAAGCTATCTTGGCTTTTTTGGAAACAAAGTTAACAAATTGGCTGAAGCTAAGGAATTTGGCTTCTTCTTTCTCACTCAAAAACCTTTTTCTCTTCCCCCCGGTTTTCAACCAAAAAAGAATTTTGCAGAATTTTTTTTTTTTTCCACCCCCCTAAAATTTAAAAAATATAATCTATTACAATGCAGCAAGCCAGCCTCCCCCGCAGGAAGGAGGACAAACTCTTTACTTGGGTGGGGTCTTTTGGTGTCTCTTTTCTTTGCCGATGAGATTTTCCTCAAAAAAAAAGCAATCAAAAAAAAAAAAATCCTCCTTACTTCTCCTATGCCCTCCCCCCCAGGAAACTATGCCGCACCCGCACCAACAAGCAAGTAATTACCCCTAATGTCCCTTCCCGAACATCCCACAAGGAGGTAGAGGGCCTTCATTTTTATTAAAATATATTTTTCTATTATTAATGATTGAAAAAAAATTTTATACCTTTTTTTTTAAGTGTGTTGCCTTCCACAGAAAACCCTCGGAACTGGGGGCCGGGTGGGCTTAGGGGGCTTGCCCTTGCTTAAGCTAGTGGTGTAGTGGACCCCCCTGAAGGGCCTTAGCCGAAGGGTGGCCCCCTTGTGGTGGTTTTTTTCATCACAGGGGGTGGTAAAGGTGGCCCGCCTTTGGGTGGGACCGTGTGATGGAATAGGATAATTGGGGGGGGGAAGGTGTTTTTGCTCTGGGTAGGCTTTCCCAAAAAAAGCCTTCCTGATATTTCTTCGTCCCAAAAAATTGTTTTTTTTAAAGAAATGTAGCTTTGGTTGGGTTGCTCCTTTTTTTTGATATCATTCAACACCTTATCTCTCTCTGCCTCTCTCCTTCTTTTTTTTTTCTTCTTTTTTTTCTTTTTTTTTTAAATCCTTATATTTTTTATTTTCTTAAACATATTTTTCTTCTTCTTTTTTAAATTTTTCACTTCTTTTATAAAAAATTTAGTTGGAGTGGGAGCTGTTGCAGCGCCCTGTTCTTTTGTCTTGGTACTGGATAGAATTGTTTGTTTTTATATTTTAATTTTAAATTTCCTAAGATTTTAATAAAAAAAAAAAACAAAGATAAGGCCTGGATACAAGGTTTTTATTTTATTCTTTTATTTAAATTTTTTTTTTAACTTTTACATTGTGACTTTTCCGTCCCAAATTGAGCCCTGAAAAAAAAAAAAAAAGCAGTAATCGGGAATCGCCATTGGGCCCCACGGCCCGGGTCCCTCTGCAAGAACAAATTTTCACCTAAACTTTTTTAAAACCATTTACCCCTTTTTAAATTTAGTTTTTTATAATTTTAATGTGGTGCTTTAGTGTATTCCTTTTGTTGCTTTATTAGCTTCCTTTGTCCACTTTTTATAATTTATCGTTGCTAAAATCTTAGGATTGATGAAGATTCTTTGGGGGTTGGTTCGTAATATGTTGGGTTTCTTGGCGTCAGTTTTGGGTTTTCTGGCTCCCTCGTGGTCCTTCTTCTGCCACGGCGGTTGCCCTTTTAAATAGGTCTGTTTCTTTTTTCTATTTTTCTGGTACACTTCTTTTTCTCCCATTCTCCACAGCTTCTCCTATCCCCCCACAGCCACACCCTTTAAGTCCAAATTCATTAATACATATATATTAAAATTTCTACATAAATTATTTTACTTGCATATTTTAAATGTTGTTAAAAAAATTTTAGTTTAAATTGACTTATTAAAGTTAAAGTAATAATAATTATTTTAAAAAAACTTTAAATAAAAAAAAACCCCATTTCAAATAAAAAAAAAAAAAAAAATCACCCTTTAAAAACCCAACCACTTATCCACATAAAAAATTTAAAAAATTATGGTAAAAGTGTAGGTAATAATAAGGTTAAATAAAGATGAACATGAACTAAAAAAAACTTTAACTAAAATAAAATAAAAAATTTAAAAACCATAAAAAACCTTATACAAACTTAAAAAACACCAAAAAAAAATAAAAAAAACAAAAAAAAAAATTAACAATAAATTTAAAAATTAATTTAATATAAAAAAAATTATAACACTTTCACACCAAAACCCCCTTCTCAAAAAAAAAGCAACAAAAAAACCCTTTTCAAAACCCAACAATAATATTAAATTTTTTTTATATATGTTGCCTAAAAACGGGGTAATTAAAAACTTTTATCCACCCTTTTTTTTTTGCCGGTTGCATACTCCTTATTTTGCCTGACGCTGGCATAAGGCGGAAAAAATAATCAGCCGCCCCCTCCGCAGCAGGTGCAAAAAAAAACATCCCAAATGTCGGGGGAGGCGGGGTGGCCCCGATTGCTCCCCCCTCTATATTACAAACACAAAACAAAACTCCTTATTAAAAGCCGCTCTTTTTTAATCACAGGTCAGTCTTGCCCCAAGGACAAAAATAAATAAAAAAAAAAAAAAACAATTGAGATTAAAAACCCACAAAACAAATCAAAAAAAAAAAACAAAAAAAAAAAAATAAAAAAACAAAAAAAAAAAAATATAAAAAAAAAAAAAATTCAATAAAAAAAAAACTTGCTTTGTTTAAAAAAAAAAAAAATAAAAAAATAAAAAAAAAAAAATAAAAACTTAACATTTTTAAAAAAAAAAAAAAAAAAAAAAAAAAAAACCTAAAAACCCAACTCAAACCCAAAAAGAAAAAGAAAAAAAAAAGAAAAAAAAAAAAAAAAAAAAAATCAAAAAAAAAACTAAAATCCAAAAAAAAAATTCAAAACCTAATTAAAAAATCTACATACCTAAATCCTCCTGTGCCTGTTCCGTGTATATTAAGTACAAACCACCCCAAAAAAAAAAACAACATTACAAAAATTAATAAAACAAAATATAAATATATATATATGTCCTTAAATTTAAAATATAAAAAAAAAAAAAAAAAAAAAAAAAAAAATAAAAAAATAAAAAATTTAAAAATAAAAATGTAAAAAAAAAATAAAAAAAAAAAATATAAATAACTAACATACACTGTGAGCGCTATTATTGACAGACTATAGGCTATACTATATACTATACTATAAATATGAAGTGTTATGCAGGACAGTTTGCCTTGTCTGCTCTCACTTTCCTAAGGGTTTCTGCTGATCAATAATCCAGCAGTATTGTCTTCAGGTAATTGCTAATACCATTAATGACATGTAATATATGCAAATACGCTTTCCAGGAAATGTGCGGTGGGTGACTGGAGAAGAGGGATATGGAGCAAGTAAACAGATGCAAGCTTTTGTGTGTCAAAGCTGCAACATAATTTGACTCCTTTGTTCATACTTGCATGTATTAATTATTGTTCTAACTAAGGTGCCAAGGCCTACCCACAGATTATTTGAAGAGGACAGTGCTTTAGGAGTCTCTGTCTTAAATATATCTGAATGTATGTATTTGTATGTATTTGAATTGTGTCGACTGCTTGAAGTGATAAATTAACTAACATTTTCATTGTGTAAACATTTGTGACACACCACACTGAGTCTGTTGGTATATATATATTAGTTAGTTACAAAACTACAGTATGGATTGCAACCCTCTGAACAAAGTCAGTTTTTCTCAGTTGATATGCTACACAAGAGATGACTTTTACCCAAGTGCAACGTGACTGTCATTTATTTACATTTGACTACCTTTAGTTAATAATTAATATATTGCCATATCTGTTTTAACTATGTACACACGAACAAAAAAACCTGTTGCCTTTACATCACCTAGGTACTGGATATAAAACCTGTGACCTCACACTAAAACAACATTTCCAGACTGACTGCACTCAGCGCCTGATCTCAGCAGGTAAGAGACCTTAAAATCAAGAGCAAAAGAATGAATGTAATTTATTCCAACAGTTATCATGTATTGAATTACAGTGGACAGTAAAACCCAGTATACACAGTATGGGTATGCACCAGTTACCCAACAAAAGAGAGGGAACATTTTTTAAACTGCAACATCTTGATAATCTTCCCTCTGATTAGGACTCTACCTTTATTATAAATAATGACTTAATTTAATTTGGTATCTCTGTGCTTCTGATTTAGTCTTTTCTCCAGATGAACGCCACTATAACTGTGAAGATGACACTTGTGTTGTTCTTTCTGGGCTCAGGTAAGGGCCCCTTTCTCTGTCTCATTCTGATATACTTCTTTTGTTATCAGTAGTTTTGAATAAAACATCTACAGTATGTGCATAGGTATGTCTACATGCCGCCATTAGTCGTACTTTTATAACATGCAAAAACTGTGTACAAATGATTTTTTGTATGCATCAGAGTAGGGATATGTTGCTCCTTGTGTGCGACACACATTGCATTTTAACTGAGTGAACTTAATTTCAACAGCACATAATGTTGGTTGTTGTTTTAAGAAGCCATAAACATTAAGTGAAGGATAAACTATTGTTTTGTCTTTCTTTTGACAGGTTTTTTTCACTTTACAATGGCATCAAACCGTCTGAGACTTTTCAGTTGTAAAGATAGTGGGCTTTCTTGGTATGATGCGTTGTCTGAATGTAATATGACAAATGAAACACTTGTAACTCTGTATGACGAAGAGGACGCCAAGTTCACAGCCAACTTCACCAATAGCGTAATCTGGCTGGGTCTGCGTAAGAGGAGAAATATCACTTGGTCAGACGGTACCCCTTACCTATTCAGGAATTTTTCTGTGAATGTAACAAGTGGGGAGCAAAGATGTGTAGCTACCGACGGACAGAAATGGAGCAATTTCAGTTGTTCAGAGAGGAAACATTTCATGTGCTACCATGGTAAGTTTCATCATATTAGATTTCTTTGCTAAATGCTCAATAATTTGTTTGGAAGGTAAAGTTAGGGTTCATGGTTTATTAGAAATTATTATTATATTATTTAACTGCCTCCTTGTATGGTACTTTTGGGTCCTTGTATGTTCAGACCTCTGCACTTGAAACCAAACCAAACAGAGGCAGCATGTATTAAATGTCTTTTTATTGTACACAGTACAATACAATGAAACAGTATAATGAAGATAACAGGTGCATTCAGTGTGTAAATATAGTCGAGAACAACAGCAGCGACACCGTAACACACACAAGCATACATCCTGTACACAGCAAAAAAAATGGTTCTAGGTTTGATGGTGGATTTTTGAGTTAAGCTGAAGGGTATTCTAGAGCCCTCAGAGCTGCTGACATCAGCAAACACGGTGTTGTCAGACTCCCAAATTGAATTGAGGTAAAATGCGACAAAATATTATAGCGTTGTTGTTCGAATTGTGTATCCCTCTACTCTTTATGCTTTTATAACAGCACAGATGTCATCAAACAAATCCACAGAAAGTTTGGAGTACTAACTTTCCCACCTCCTTTGTGAAAGGAGGTACAATTTCTACTATATCTGTTTTGTGGGCCTTTTCACGCCCTTATTAGAAAGGGACAGCCGAAGAGAAACAGGAAAGGGTGGGAGAGAGAGGGGATGACACAGGTCAGATTCGAACCCGGGCCCCTGCAGCAAGTCTGTATATATGGGTCGCCAGCTCTACTGACTGAGCTAACCGGGAGCCCATCTGTTTATGTTTTACAGGTACTAAGTACATCCTGATTGAAAATGAGAAGAACTGGTGTCAGGCTCTGCAGCACTGCAGAAAATACTACACTGACTTGGTCAGCATCGCAAACCAAACACAAAATGAGACAGTGATTAAAATGAAAAATGACACAAGCTTTTGGATTGGACTCATGCATGATGAATGGGAGTGGGCGGACAAAAGCTGCTCTTCATTCAGAAAATGGAATACGGATAGAGACCATCCAAAAGATGACAAAGACTGCAAGCAAAAGGATTCATTGATAGAAGTTTATGGAGTTTTGAATGTGATAACGATCAAAATACACCCCTTTGCTCCCAAGGTAAGTGATAAGCAAACAAATATACTACAAACAAATCGTCTAACATATCAAACCTATATGTAGTCTAAACTCCACAATTGAATTGAATTCACATGTAATTCACAAAAATGGGTTTACAGACAATAACTTTGATTGTTTTAAACACAGTAGTAGTAACGGTATTGCAAATTGTACAAAGTGAGTGATTATACTATGATACTACACATATACATTATAAATTAATAAATGTAAAAAGTTGTGCTCACAGTATATATACTTTTTAATTTGCACCTCGGACAGGTTACCAGCCCATTTCAGAGCTAAGAGACTCACTTGCCAATTTATAGTATGTTTAAAGGTTGTGAGGTGCAAACCAATGTGTCACTTGTTACAGTGAAAGACTGAATAGAAAGGGAACTCCACACAAGAGAATAATTATCAAAACACCAGACGCCAACTTAATGGACAGATTGTTGATGGGCATTTGGTGCTACTACCTGTAAATCTTACTTCTGTCTTCTCCCTGGTTTTAATGTCAGGTACTGTGAGAATCAAAGTCATTAAACAACGTCTGAATTGGGAAAATGCCTATGACTATTGCAAATCTCACCACACACGCCTGCTGTGGATTCAGGATTCGAAAGATGAGGAGGCTGTCGGACAGTGGCTAAATCACACTGATGTTACTGGTCCATTCTGGATTGGTCTGAGGCAGAGTCGAGTTTTTGGATTCTGGATTTGGACGAGCGACAGGATAGTGACCAACAACAACTGGGAGAACGGCACACAACCTGAGCTTCCCTTGTCGAACCACTGTGGTGTCATCAAAAACAACTTCAAGTGGAGTGATGAAAACTGTTTATTTCAGCTACCTTTTCTTTGTGAGGAGGAAATTGTATACATGAATAAATAGTTTAAAAGGTTCGTTGATGGATTAGCTTTAAATGCAGAATCAGTGTGGTGTCGATGCCTGATCATGGAGATGGAAGTCAACCACATAACCCTTGGTATTTTCCTTTACTGCTCAGAATCCTAATGGATGTTTTTCTTTAATTCAATTGGTACAAAATAATCACACATTTCAGATTTTTTTTAAATATATATATATATTTGGAAGTGTTTTTATATTATTATTATATTCTGAAGATAAGTTAATTATATGTTTGTACTTAATTTAAATGATTCATTGGTATCAACAAAAGAGAAAACAAAATGTGGTAGAAATGAATGAATTTATTTCATGCTTGTAATGACTGTATTTTTCACTCGGGTCTTACTCTGTGTCACTTAAAACAATCAAACAAGGTTTGTATATCTGTTTGTAAGCAACCCCACTTGGGCCCCTGTTTTAGCAGTAATAATATAAATATATATTCTACTTTTGTATTCACATTTACAACTTTTAAACCAACTCCAAATATTTTATACTCTAAGATGTGCTTTGTAAGTCTAAGTTGTAAATGTGGTATGATACAGTGTGGAGCAGCACATACACAGAAGATCTCATAGAAGATGTCAGTTAATGTTTGCTGTATGCCTTATGTTTCACTTTCATGAGTTTTTTTGTGTAACTTCTGGGTAAATTCATTTCTAGATAATTTAGTTGTTTGCAATAAAAGACAATACATTTCAAATCCAATCATTGGGATAATATGTTTTAATTAATGCTATCTAATACATAAATACATATATCTCCCGTTAACATCACTGCTATAATAATTTTTCAGTGAATTCATTATGACAAGTGTGGGTCGTTTTTGCCTCTGAGATGTAATGGAGTAGAAGTTGCATCAAATATCAAGTAAAGTACAAGTACCTCAAATCTGTACTTAATTACAGTACATGAGTAAATTTACTTATAGCAGTTATATCCCACCATGTGTGCATTTAAACATAATTAAAATCAATTATTTGCTAAATTCTTTATCATCAGAATCTTTAAACAAGACAACCTCAAGGGATCCATATGTTGTTCTGGCACAAAGTCAAAAGGAATTGTGTTAGTAACAACATCTGTGGTGGAAAGGACATTATTACAACAAAGCAATACAAAGAGTGAAGACACAGATAAAAACAAAATATTATTCATAGAGTCATGTGGGGTTGTGCTGGGTATCTAGAAAGTTGAGAATCTTAAAGTAATCAGAATCCAGGCTAAAGACTGCCACAAAAAGGTTGTGTTGACCATAAACCAACAGAGATGAGAAGAAACACAGCTACGATAGGGATTTTAAAAGAGAGGAAAAAGACAAAAATATGCAGATGGAGCCCTAAAACACGACACTGGAAGGGAGATAAATTAAAAACATAGTAGATAAGTCCAGAAAGAAAGAGGGAAACTGAAAAAAAAAATGAAAACAGGAAGCTTGGACAACTTCCAGGGCCATTATTCACACTGTGGACAAACTTGGAAGGAAGGCTCAATCTGTCACACCCTCACTCATCATTGTAACTCATCATACAGCTCACAGTATGTGTGTGTGTGTGTGTGTGTGTGTGTGTGTGTGTGTGTGTGTGTGTGTGTGTGTGTGTGTGTGTGTGTGTGTGTATGTGTTTTTACAGGCCTCTTGATCATTGCTCATTCCAGGGAAACAGACTTTCTCTTGACTTGTCGTTCAGCTCACTTCTCTGACCATTATTTGATGTACGTGTACAAGTGTGTGATCATAGCTTATCGAGAGGAATCAGAGCTTCTCAGGAAACACTCTTCTGCACGGCATAAATCACCAGCCACTGAGGATATTGACTTGCAGCCAAGCACATTTCTTGGTGCAAAAGCAGCAAATTTTCGTTGGCAGAGATGTGGACAAAATAAGAGGCTGAGATATGGCCCCATTTGGGGTTGAATGACCGCCCAAGCTTGGTGACCATTCAGCCCAAGCTGAAGTATAGAGTAACACAGTCATACCTCCAGCATTTATGGTCCATAGCTGGGCTTTATGCAGAATGTAATGGCTGACTTCTGGTGATGGCATCCAGTTTTAGTCCAGAACTAATACAATACCACACCGATATAGGCCAACCAGTCTCTGTTCCAATTATTCCACAGAGGTTACCCGATTTTCAAATAATAATCACAATAAATAGATGATTATTAGGGGTGTAAAAAAATATAGAGAAATATCGTATCACAATATTTCATTTTGTGATATTGTATTTTGTGGTTAAACCTCCAATTGCTAGAGGGCAGTGTTGTCAACGTACACTGAAGGCTATGATGCTGGATGTTACAGTGACTGTGATGAAAATATAAAAGCAGATCCCACTGTTCTGGTTGCATAAAAAAAAAAAAAAAACTCAGATTGTATGCATACAGTTTTGTGTTCTTTATACTATGACAGTTTTTAATTCTCCCGGTCGAATTTCATGCTACATCTTTTTTTTTTTTGCACCAGGCCAGAATTCAGAGGCACGTTAGAGGAGATTTTAAGCAGAGAAACACACCATTTTGTATTCTTTTAAATGACAGACTACACAAATAAACAATGTATGGAAAAGCCAAAACATTGATTTAACAGCTGAAGGTTGGGGTGTTGATTCTCAGTGGGTTTGATACTACCTGTCGGCCTTTCACATTAGGCCTACTGGTAATCATTTGATTCAATGTTAATTGATTGATGCTTTCCAAATTCTATAACTTAAATACAATCCTTGAAATAACACAGCACTTAATAACATAAGCTAACATAATATCTATGGAAATATCTACTCTTGGAATTCCTGAGTCTCACCACTCAAACAGAAAATTTACTGGATTAGACATAAAATACATAAAAATGATAAACTAAAGTTCTAAACTAAAAGCATTCCTAGGTTAACATGTACATTAAAGTGGACAAACACTCACTTATGGTCCAGAGAGTTAAGCCACATATTAACATAAAAAAAAATAATTGTTCTTTGTGAAACAACAGAAAAGTAAAAATGAAAAACTAACTTGTAATGAACTCTCTCTGAACATATTGGCTGCCAGTGAACTCAGGACTGCTGGAGGGTGACTTGGGGACTGGTTTAATTCTGGCTGGAAACTTGGCAGTAAGCAGCCTGGTAGTCTGGTGGTCTGTTGCATGACTAGCATGAAGTTGAGTAAATGGTGAGTGTGATACTGGCAGTTGAATACCTAATAAAAAATTGTGGTGCCCTCATTAGAGGACGATGTTCAGGGGCAGTTAATATCACCATCACTAAAACGCAAACCATGCATGTAAGACAGTGTCAACAGCCTTATCCAAAATATAAATATCATAGCAACAGAATCCGATTTTCATATCAGCTTCACAAATATTATGCATGCAAACTCATAATCCCTGGCTGAGACTGAGATTTCACTACTGGCTTCATTTGCCAAGGCCTCTTGCTACTGCCCTCTGCATTAGCAGTGTTTCCCCTGAATTAATTTAGCATTGGCGCACTGCCGCTACAAAATTACGAAAACCACCCCAAAAATATTAAACGATTATTAATATTAATGGTCTACTAATGTTTTTCACTCCCTCTCCTCAATCACCAAATGACATCTACATGAAAGTTACTGTTATAAGAGCTGTGTAACTCCTTGAAGGAATAAGAAAGTGTGTAATATGTGTGTGTAGCCAGTGTGTTTGAGAAAAAGGAAAAAGAGAGCAGCCAGCATAAAGGTGACGGTGACATGAGCTTATAGCTGCTGGAAATGTGAAGGAGGTTAGCCCTGGCAAACATCTTCCCTGTGCTTCAGACTGTGGTTTGAAAGCTGAGCAAGAAAGGTAGAAAGTTTTTTTGGCTGCCATGTAACGTTGACTTAACTGCATTTGCTTACTACCCATGTGTAAGTGTTAAAAAATAAGACAGATGTGACGTTAAGCTCAATGGTGATTATGCGCTAATGTAGTCTAGCTGCGTCTGCGGCACCTGTGATAGAGTGAACATTGTTTGGAGTTTCCTCAGCAACAACCTTACACTCCAAAAGGTGTTTTTTTGTCATGTCAATTATAATTTACCAGTGATTACTGTTGTTACTCCTTGATTAGCTTCCTAAGTGACCTTTCTCACACCCTGACAGTTAACAGTTAGAGTAAAAAACACAGCTGAACTTTGGAGATATCAGGGACTTGAACTAGTGACAGTTGAGCATCAGAGCCCCAACTCACACACTCGTAAACCCCCACGGGTACTGTGGAGTACTGCGGGCAAACATTTTTAAATGTTAATTTAATTTCAATAGAAAAGGGCAAATACAAGTGAAAATTTTAAAACGTAAACCACATTTCTTGTGACTGAATTTCATTTAACTTATTTATCATCTTATGTCCCCCTTGTGGGGGTCCAGACATCCAGGTAGGCCACCACTGCTCTAGAGAGCAGCCTTTTAAATGCTTTAAGAGTGGATGGAGGAGATATGGTTGTTTGTTCTCCTTTATTGCACATGTAGTGTGTTAACAATTAAAGGTACTGGTCTGCATAGATAGTAAGTAAGTACTGGAAAAAGTCTCGGGAAAGTAAATTAACTTTTATGAGTACTTGTAAAGCATAAGTTACCGACCCATCCCTGAGAAATAAATTGACACTAAGAAAATACACAGTACCTAACATAACCGAACAGTTTGCCAAAATGTTCAAACCTTCTCAAAACTTTGAATTGGAAAAAAAGTGTCTAGACTCCTTTTCCCTCTCAAAACTTTTTTTTTTTTTCTGGCTGTGACCTGCATTTGTCCGAAGGCACCAAGAGGCAACGAGTGAGAAAGTAAGCGACACGAAGTGATGGAAATAAAGTGGGAAAGAGCCAGAGGAAGGGAGACAAAGAGGAGCAGATGGAGGGATGGAAAAGCGAGAAGAGCAGTGGGGCCTGTCAAACTATTAACGTCATGGTGTGAGCCCGGGGCTCCTGGTGACACAAGAGATGAGTGGACATATTTAGCATTGAGCTCAAAATTTACACACACACACACACACACACACACACACACACACACACACACACACACACACACACACACACACACACACACACACACACACACACACACACACACACACACACACACACACACACACACACACACACACACACACACACACACACACACACACACACACATGCCAGACAACTCTGCAGCAACTAGCCAACTTCCCATAATCCAACAGCGAGCTCCAGTTGGACAATCGGACATTCTGACAAGAAATCAATGTTAAACAACATAGTACAAAAAAGTGTTTTTATACTCCTACTCTTATTTTTATTCATACACAACACTGCAATGTTTGGTCTCTCCCCAATGCTCAGATGTTATAGCAGAATCACACAACACGGCCCATCAGTGTGTGCCAAACTCCTTACATTCAGACTCACAAGCCAAATGGCACAGCCGTTAGCTTGGTGACTCTTTTAAAGTGGTCTTTTGACTGCTTTTCCTGTATATTTTATATTTCATGTTACTTTCATTGTGTATCAAACCAAACAAATAGCCCCCGAATATTTTCTTTTCTGTAGAGATGGAAAATAAAACACATTCTCATCCTGAATTTTAATGCGTTTGTATACTCATTGTACAGAAAGCTCACACAGAGCAGGCTCACACTGAGTATAGTACACTGAATGGATTCAAGATGTTTATTATAATTGCTAGTTGGTTACCACTGGTCCACAAGTCCCTGCCCCTTTGC